GGCGAAAGACGCCATTTGAAGACCGTCGTGACCGCCTTCGCCGCCGAGGACTGGAGGGCAATCGGCCGTAGGTCCTGTGGCCTCTTGGCAAGTTTCTGAGGCTTGGGGAGAAAATGTAGGTCAGACCGCGTCCACACCTCCGGTATCCGCAGCCGACCAGGCTGCCAGAGACGAGCGAGGCATGCAGAAAGGTAATCTGCCAAAGGTGCAGCTAGAGCTTTCCAGACGGCAGCCGGCGCATGGCCTTTGGCCACGGCCTTCCGCTGTTTAAGACCACGAAGGGCCTCAATACACAAACCCCGGTACCATGTGTACAAGTGCCCTCCCGGCCAGACATCCCTTGGACCAACGATATTTTTGAGAACCCTGGTATCTAAATTTCACATCCCTGAACCTCTCCCTACCCTCCTGTTCAATGTTCATCGTATCAATTCCTCACAAAACCTTATCAATGTCAACAAATCCTCCCAATCCCTCATAATCCTACACAGCCCTTTCAAAAAACCTATCCACTATTGAACCCTCCAAAACCTCCCATACAGAACTGCTCGAGGCGCCTGGGTTGCCGCGGCTTTCGGCGCGGGCGTGGACGGCGGCTTCGGGCCTGGGCTCAGGTTTGGTGTTTAGGGTTTGGGGTTAGTTTTTGTTCCCTTTCTCTCTCTCTCTCCCTTTCTCTCTCTCTCTCTCTCTCTCTCTCTCTCTCTCTCTTTCTCTCTTTCCCAACCCCAAATCTGCAAGGACTGCTGAATCGAAAATGCCAATGCAATGAAGGGGCCCTCAGCCACCGAAGCCGAAGTTTGTCTGGGCACCTTTTGGGGTTTAGGGCACGTTTTCGGGTTTGGGGTTTAGGGTTTCGGGACTAGGGTTTCGGCGCAAGGCTTCGTCCTCATGTCTTAGGAAGTTTGGGGTTCAAGGTTTCCGACAGGGTTTGACAAGGGTTCTGGTTGTCTTTAGAATTCCAAACGGAAGTTTAAGCGGTTTGGGGTTTTGTGGAACGCAGGTTTTTCGGCATAAAGTTTGATTCCATCAGTGTCTGTGCAAGGTTTTCATCTTTGGGTGTCCACTTTCAGTCTCGCACAAGGCAGGCAAGAGGGTTTAGTATTTCATATCTGGGCCCTTCACGGTTTTTGTCGAGGCTTACTTCATGGGGCTCCTAGTCGTTTTCCGCAAGGTTCCTTTGCCGTCTTGCTCGTACGCTTCATGGCAGGGTTTTGCTTAGGTTGTAGATTTTGGGGTTCCGGTGGGGGTCCTCTCTACCAGCTTCCTCGCCCGTCCTGCTCTTCAAGTCTGGTGTGTAGGATGGAGACCTATAGACCCTTATAAACTCCATAGAGTCGCAAACCCTATACCCCCGACGCCTATGCCCCTAGCGCAACGCTTTAAGCCCAAGGCCCATACCGGAGACCCTATATAGGCATATGCAACCACATGCAACTGAAATGTTGTGAACGTGTTTGAATGTGTGGCCGCTACTGCTTTTCTATTATGGCCACCCCTGTGTTACGATTGTGCTTACTTACAAGTGAAATTACTGTTTCTTAGCACTCGTGCTTGACGAACAGGCGAGGTTTGGCGTAAGACAAGAGGCAACTCCCTTCGCCAAGCAAATCTGGCTCGGTTTCCGGGTATCTGGCTGTATCTCAGACAAGTACAAAAAGCAGACAACAGTTCTCAGTTGGCGGTTGTCAATTCTCAACTTGCATAAAGCGTTTGACCCAGCTGTAGGAAGGCGGCCTAGAGCATCCCCAAGCGGCTGCTCTGACGGCCTCCTTCTGTGTCGTTCGCAAGAACCACCAAGCAGCTGATTCAGGCAGTCTCGGCATGCCTACTTCACCAAACTCTGGAGGCGTGCAGTCCACAACACTTTCCTGCAAGGAGGGACTAGAAGATCGGAGTTTAAGAAATCAGGGGTCCTTCTGCATCCACTCCGACGTCTTTCCCGTCATCCGTGAAAGGATGAGATATATATGTATATATATATATATACACACAAACATCATTATGTGCAACTGTATACACATAGGCTTGCCTCCTGGTTGCAGCCCCTTGAATCCCACTACTGCCTACTATTACTGCTGCCCCCGCGGTAGCCATTCATTCTGAAATCGGAAGACCAAACTAACACATGAAGGTTCAAATGACCGACGAGTCCAGAGCCTCAAACCCCAACCGTCCGAAACACCGTTTCTTCTTGAAATCGCTGGAGTCCGGAGAGGGGCGCCTGTGCTGCGGCGGCTGGTGGTGCGGCAGCGGTCCGCTGTGGTGCGACTGGGCAATCCATGGCCAGTCAGTAATCTAGACTTAGACTTAGAGCTTGCAACCCCGAAGTGATGTTTAGAGCTAATTTCGATTCGGAACTGGGGACTACAGTTGTTTCTTGAAGGTTCCGGGTTAAAACACGCATGGTTCCGCCTATTATTGGTGAATCGTCATGCTTACACACCGGGCATGCCAGTATCCCAGGCTGTTTGTAGCAAATCTCTAGTTGGGATTCCTTGTCTGAGGATTACCAGGGGGTTTCCGAAAATAGGGGGCCCTAATATAGCACCCTAAGTAGTGGGATCCTTATTATAAGGACCCCAAAATAGGGTACCCCTTATTCTCGGAAACCCCCACCAGGTTTACGAAGGACAGGTGGGCGAGAAGCTGTCTCAGCAATCTGCTCTCCTCTTGACAGTTTCATTCTTGCTCCTCTCGACAGGTACTGTTATTGGGAATACTTTCCCAAATCATAATTACAATTCCTAATAGAGAAACCCTACATTCTACCATATAGGTGCCATGTTGGTGGTTTCTAGCTGTGATGTCCCTCCATCCCGATTTGTGGTGGGTAAGATAGGGGCCTTACTAACTACCTATGCTATTTTGTTTTACTATGATATGCCCCAAAACCATATTCTAATTCTTAAGGCCCCTACGTTATGTGTGTCAGGTGCCTGCTGATCCTTCATATTAATTTTGGTTGATTATTTTCTGGCTTTTGTGCGTGTGTGTGTGTGTGTGTCTCGCTCTCTTTCTCTCTCTCTCTCTCTCTCTCTCTCTCTATGTATATATATATATATATATATACACATATCTCTCTCTCGCTCTCTCCTTTCACGTGGTCGTGCATGGGTTTGCGTATTTGGCAAAGGTGCTGCTGAGTCCTGTTGCTGTCTGGTATGGTTTATTGGAAGCCAAACACCGTGAGTTGTCGCTTCTTCCAGAAGAGGGACCTGCACCGTGGTGGATGAGAGGATTTAGGCCTGGAGAGGCTGCAGGGCTTGGGACTCCTGAGGTTCAGGCATCCCAGAAGCCGTTTTGGGAGGGCTTTTGTGGCGAACCCTAGTGGAGAACCACAGCTTTGAGTCCTCCTAGAATCCTTCGGGTAAAGTCGGACACCCCAAATTAATAAATCCTTAGCTTCCGCTCGTTGCCAGGTGACCTGCTGGTGCAGCAGCCGGGGTCTGCTTCTGTGCCTTTCCCAGTACTCGACAGCATGGCCCACTTGAGATGTTCATCAGCTACATACAGGGTTCCAGCTAGAACATGTTAAAACACCAATTCACCAAGTCACTAAGCGTTTATCTTTCGCCCGACACAGACTTCGCGTCACATGCAACTGCTAGTTGCACCTTTGAGTACCGCCCTTCCGCACGACACGTGCCCTTCCAGCTACACCTATCGGCCAAGTAGAATGCTAAACCCTAAGCACCTTGACCTCATGGAGCAGTAAGCACTAGGTGCACACGCTCGGGAGGGAACTAGGCGTCACAATCACTAATAGTCTAACCATAGCAGATGGTATTCGTAGTCCTTCTTACTAGTAGTAACACCTGGGTAAGGGGTGTTATCCTAGCAACAGGAGGGACCAGGGGTATAAACTCCACGAAGATGGAAACATACACCCTCCAGAATCTCTCGGAAATCATACTACTAGTGACAGTGATTTTGTTGCTCTTACTGCTGCTGTCAACGCCCAGAAATCCTAACCCTTCAAGCCTAGTCAAAACCCAAGGTCTTCCAAACTGATCGCTCGCGGAACCGTGATGAAGCACTTGGGCAGGAAAAAACAGTGTAATATGAATCCACCCCAAAAGCACCGACTATCAGAGGAAGACCTCCCTCTCAATTCTCTCAGCGGTTTCAGGCTGGTGGCTCTGAGAGTTAGGGTGTTCGGGTTCGGAGCCAGGTTCGTCTCACGTGGCAACGTTGTTGTGTGAGCGCAGTTCTTGCTGCATGTGGGTTTTGTGATGTTACCTCTTCTCACGCACACCCCGTAGTCTCCAAGCACCTCATACCACAGCAACAACTTCCGTAGAAGGGGGCTGGGGGCTGGGGCTGGGGCTGGGGTGGCTGGGGGCTGGTGGGTGGGGGCTGCTGGGGGCTGGGGCTGCTGGGGGCTGCTGGGTTGTGCGCGAATGCGTGCATCCAAGCTTTTCACAAAGCCGTTGCTGCGATCCTGGCTGATGGATCAGCGATCGGGGACCTGGGACCATGCTGCGCATATGGTGGTAACAGAAACTCTGTACGGGATCGGCTGCAAACAGTGTTTGCAGCCGATCCAGAATGGAGCGGAGCCACTGCCGCCTCCATATGCATGGTCCCAGGTTACCACTGATACATCGGCCCGGTACACCGGCCCGGATCGCAGCAAAGGCTTTTCAGGAAGCATGGAGTTGCAGACCATTTGGCAGCCGATGCTGCGCAGCGCTGCTGTTGCCACCACGCCGAGCATTGCGCCGGGCACCGATCCAGCCCGCTGTGCACGTCGGTTCAAACCCTGAATCGTTTCATTTGCTTTGCTTCTAAGGATGCCGTCCTCTCACTAGTCAGGCGCGCGTCGACCGAGAGTGCCATGAAAGGCATGGCCGTTCAACAGATCCACATTTGCAATGATGGGTCAGCAACGTGAAGGTTTCGAAATTTCGGGCTGAAGCCTCACCGTTGGGAAGGCAGGGTCTCCGCTGAAGCCGAAGACCCAATGTGCACAACTGTTTATGGTACATCTCTAGAATCTTTCATATCATCCTATATACTACCCTCATACTAACCCTGGAAGAACCTACTATAGCTTGTGTCTTCAACACTTTCCTGCCTAAACCCTAAACCCTGAACCCTAAACCCTAAACTACGTGCTGGAAACCTTCGTCCAGCACTCCATGGGGCTCCAAGCCTCAAAGAAGCGTCTACTGTAGGGGCCTGAATAATTTAGGGTTTAGGGTTTAGGGTTATAATAATTTTATAATATACCCCAAACCCCATTCTAATTATTATGGCCCCTATATTAATACGATGGCTTAGGGCTCTAATTAGGCTGCAAAACCCTGAACCTTAAAGATCTAGTGCTGGAATACCAAGAGGGCAGGCAGTGCTTTCTAGGAGGTGAGATCCCTTACCTAATCTGTGTATAATACGAATGACTTAGAGGTTCAGGGGACTTAGTAACTATGAAAAAGTACCATCATTTCTGGCGTTAAGTTAAGCAGCTATAAACCCCAGTTTCCTTGATTGCAAGCCTGGACGCCGGAATATGTAAGTACCAACATTTTTGATTAGGGTTCGCTATGATAGTTCTAGAAGGATATATCCCCAAACCCTACTCTTATTAAGGCCCCTGCCCAATCTTAAGTATGGCTTCACCATACCTGCCTGCGCGGGCATCCAGGGGTCGCTCTGCAGCCAGGGGTCTGCGCCAGCCTGGCCATGGGCAACAGTTGAAACACCCACGGGGTCGGGGTTAGAGTTTATAAACTCTAACCCCGACCCCGGGGGATAGGGTTATTGAAACCCCCCCGGAGACTCCAAGACCCCTTACTTGAGCCATAAATATCATAGTAATTCAGGGTCCCTCCATTACAGTATTTAAATTACGAAGATACCTTAAACCAAAGTTCCTATGATCCAAGGTATGATCCGTAATGCACACGGCAAAGAGCCGATGGTTCAAGGTTTGGGTTTGAGGGTTGTGTTTGGCTTCAGGGTCTACAGCGCTTAGGGTTCACAAAAGCTTTTAGAAGCTTTACGGTTTAGAGTTTCTAGGCTTTAAATGGTTTTAAGAATTCGGGTTGAGGGAACCCCGAGCCGGAGCGTGGGATTCATGTGGCGTGAAGATTGCCTCTTCGACCCAGGTTGCAGTACATGCTGGGCCTCCGAAGTGTAACTGCTATATACGCCTCAAAGATTAGAACAGGACTAGTCTAGTTGTGCCCTTTGCAAGCGCAGACCTTCTCGAGCTGTCCTGGTGAATCGAAAGGTGTTTAGGATGATCAAAGCTCTCACTCGGCTGCTTGACTCAACTCCGGCCTATCTTGACCCTAAACCCCGAACCCAACCACAAACCCTAAACCCTGAACCTCATCTTAAACGCGAAGCCTCAATATAACACGCCCGGAACACTTCCTGAAAGGGTGCCAAGCGTACATCAAGCTCGGCAGCTTTCCATCAAGCTTTGGTTGAGGGTATCAACTTGAAGAATTCGACTTTCATTTTTGGGACCGTGGTGTAACACACCCCACACATCCCCTCGCCTTGACAAGTACGTACGGTTTGGGATTTTGGGTTTCAGTATGTCTACATGTCCCCAAACCCTAAACTCGTCTTTGAACAACCATCCGGGGCACCTGGGCGGCCGGCGCCTTTGTGATCTCTGCGGTCTTGGGTTTCCAACCTCGGAGAAGAAATTAGGGTGTTAGGGTGTTGAAGCGTACGAAGAGCATAGCGTCGTACTCTTCACTCTTTGGGGTGTGCTAAGACCTCCATGGGAAATCCACGTTGTATACGGTTTTAAGAACAGGTGCAGCAAGGTCCCTCCTACCGTAACCGTAACATGTAAGTATAACCCTGACACCTCCACAGACTATGGGCGATTCCTTTGGGAGCGGAGGGAATGTACGCGCCCGGGTAATATATATATATATAACATATCATCTGTAACTCTCTCCTTCTCTTCTCTTTCCATTTATCTTTCTTTCTTTCTTTCTTTCTTTCTTTCTTTCTTTCTCACTCTCTCTCAAACATATACACATGCAAATACCTGCTTCTTTATATTTGCATGAGCGCAAAGGTCTTCGGGTCTGCGGCACGGTAGCTTCCCGGACAATATCCGGGAGTCTCGCTGGTTGATGAAGCCAAACACTTCTCTCAAGCTAGAGTCGCAGCTAGACTCGGACAGCTTGAGGCCGAAGCAATTCAGGGCATGCTCCCACTGAACTAAAACACCATCGGAGAAGTAACCGACCGTCCGACTCCGTAACGGCCGGACTCAAGGATTAGCATGCATGAACCTAACGAATAGAAGGAGTGCCGGTCTTGTCGCGAAAGGTCCGACCACATGACATGGACATACAGTCCAGCAGAACCTGTAGTCACCTTAAACCCTGAACCAAGCAAGTGAAAATGAAAAGGGAACCAGGGTCTAGCTGTAAAGTAGAATGCTCAAATGCTAACCCCTGACAACGTGACTCCTTTGGCTGGACTAAACGTTATCAAACGCCTGTTCCCTTACTACATATTGTTATGCATCTGGGACAGCCTTGTAAAGTCTGAGACCAACTTACCTCGCGCAGCTTGCTGCCAAAAGGCCCCCGGGACCAGGCGGTTGTTGCCAGGGGGCCTCGAGGGCGTGGGTTTAGGGTTTAAGGTTTGGGGTTTAAAGATTTAGGATTTGTTTTTGCTTCCTGCATTGCTGAACGAGTCGCTAGGCAGGGAACATAGGAAGGACCCCATTCAATTCTAGGGTTCAATGCTCCACCTTAAACCCTAGGCTGGGGTTGCTCCATCGTGCGTCGAAGGTTGAAGCACTCGCTTGTTGAAGTTGAATGAAAGACCCAGATGCGTTGGGCATCCACTCTGTTACACTGCTACATGTAAGCATAGATCCGCTTGTGCTTGGAATCGAAAATGCCGTATTGGAAGTGTAGGCACGGTTTAGGGTGTGGGGCTTAGTGCGTAGGAACCTGCCTAAACCCTATATACCTCATCTTAAAGGCACCCGAAGTCACTGCAATCCCTAAACTCAAACCCGAAAGCCTGAATAGCAGAAGCCCTTGCAGAAATCCTTCTAGGAACCCTTCAAGGGATCTAAACGGGAACCGTCCCTTCAAAAAGAACCCTCCACAGTCTGCACATTCCCCGAGACTTGCTGGTGCTTCATCAAGTAAGCAGGAAGGAATATCCGGGGGACGAGGAGGGAAGTTATAGCGATTTTTGTGGGGATCCACTCTCCAACTCCCTATAAGCTCTAAAAAACCCTACATCCCCTAAACCCTTAAACCTCGAACCCCAAAACCCGTAAACCCCTAAGCCGTGAAACCTAAACCCCTACACCCTAAACCCTAAACCCTAAACCCTAAACCCCTACTAAACCCTAAACTCCAAACCTGGGCACCTCAGCCTTGGGGTCGTCTGATACCCAGTGATCGGCCTGTGGTGGTCTTTGGGGCTTCGTCGGGATGTGCAGTTTCAGGAACTGGGGCGATATAGGGGCCTTAAAAATTAGAATAGGGTTTTGGTGTATATTCTACTGTAATTATAGTAAGGAACCCCCAGAATATTATAGGTAATAATTAAGGCCCCTATAGTAAGGGGCCATGATACTAAGGGTTCCCCTTGTTAAGGCTTCTGTAAGGATTCTTTATCGAGGGTTCTATGGGGATTCTTTATGTCGGGTTCTATCGGGATGCTGTATTGAGGGTTCTATGACTCTATGAGGATTCTCCATTTCAGGTTCTGTCAGGATTCTCTATTTCGGGTTCGGTCAGGATTCTGTAATAACGGTTTGAGGGTTTAGGCTTGTAGGACTGCTGGTGCTTCTCTGGGCGTGGAAGGGCCAAGTTCAGTGCTTCCACAAGATGAGGGTGCTTCTGTGTGAACCCGAAAACGAGCCCAGGGTCCTGCGGTGAAATCTTGCCTCCTCCAATGGATTTGGGCTTTCTGTAGGGAGGCCCATCGACTTCCCGCGCCGCTGGTCCGTCCGGCCCGCCCTCCCGCCCCCCTCGCCTGCCTTGCCTCCCTTGTCTCCTCCCCTTCCCCGGTCCTCGTCCGCTCCGCCCACGGCGCTGGCCCTCTCTGTCCGGGCGAGGCGGACGACGCGCAGCGTTTAATTAGAATAGGGTTTTTTGGCCCATTATACTATGATTACAGTTATAATGAGGAACCCGCAAACTATTACAGGAAATTATTTTAAATTTGGGCCGTTACATTAGCAACATTAATGTGGGTTTGGGCCTTGAGATGGAAAGGCGAAGAGAGTTGATGGTAGCGCCACTTAGTGGGGTGCTTTGGTTTTTTTCGGGTGGGTTTTGTGTAATCGAGAAAGATTGGTCGGTCGTGGACTATGTGGGGGTATGGGGATGGGCCAACCGTGAGGGCAGGGTGGTCTACGTAAGGGCACTTCTCCAGGCTCTGTAGTCAGCGCCTCTCCTTGTTTAGAAGCTAAACGCCGGCGCCGCTTGAAGTGGAATCTGAATTGAGAATCTCTGCATTCGCCAAGATGATGAATGTGCTGTTGTCTTCAGGGTGTAACAGTGTAGGCGATGCCCGGGCCGGAAGCTTTGATGGAACCCCCCCCAGCTCTCTTTTTTCAGGATGCCTGGCAACTGCCTTTACTTCAACTTATGATAACCCGACACGCCTCCGCAGGCGGAATATCAAACTCCTGACGAGATCTACCCAAAATCTACCATGTAGCGTAAACCCGTATAAAGCCCTATAAGGCCCAAAACTCCTCCTCCCGGCGGTTCCGCACCACTAGTTTAGAGAATCCCCCCCCATGCGTAAACTCTGAGTCCATGAGCCCCCTCGCAGAGCCTTCGCGCCGATCGGTAATGTTTGCTTGCCTTTTCCCGCGCCCTTCGGCTCCTTCGGCTCTGTAAAGGACAGAGAGCAGAAAAGGACCCTCCTTGTACCCTCAGATAGGGGTAGATGGTCCCAGATTAAGGGTACTTAGGATCTAATACGAGTAGAGGGTGGGGCAAGGCGCCAGGGCACTATGGGGTTCTGTTCCCTTTTCGGGGATGGACGGGGGGGGGTCGAGGGTTTAGGGTAGAAGGCTCAAGATTTAGGGGCTTATGCTCTCACAACTCGGGCAAGCCAATGCGCGTGGAAGTACGGGTGTAAAGGTTTAGGATAATAAGCTGGGAGCCATATACATGAAGAGTTCAAGGTTAATGCTGTCACTAATTACTCGGTCCAGCCGAGTTCAGGGTTTACAGGGGTATCGGAAACCCTAAACCCTAAACTCTAAGCGCCATATAGATGCGGCTTTGAGGGAAGATTAGCTTCGCGGCACGGACATATTGCAAAAAGATGAAACCATGTGCATGGCTAGTTCTCTGAACTAGGGTCCCTTTTATAAGGGTGCCGTACGATTATTCTGGGGGCCAAAACAGGGACCGTAATTCAGGGAACTACCCACAGACATGTGAACATACCCCCCAGTTCAACAAGATATGCATGCTGCCAACAGTCTTATTCGTGCGGTGGAAAGCCCAAGCAAACATGCGTGCACAAGTGGGTACGTGCCTTTGAGATAACAACGAACCTACCTATGATGTCAGATCTACCTATGGCTGAACCTGCACATGTAGATGGGAGCTGGACTTTGCGTCCTTATAACTGTAATCGTTAGTGCGTTCGTATTCGACCACATGTATATGATTGTAGTGTCTCCAGTCTGCACTCAAACTTGCGTGCAGCGCTCATCTTCGGGGTGTCCACTTCTTTCGGAAGAATGTCCGCATAAAAGGCTGCTATGGTGGAAACAGTCATCCAAGACAGGAGCGTGAAACAAAGATGGTTCGGACGAGACTGCAGCATAATTAGCAAGCTGCAAACAATGTAGCACCACAATAACACTTCAATACAGCGCACAGTACGCAACTAAAGTGCGCAGCCACCGTCACAACCAGCACGGCGACGATGGTCACGATGCTTGCTACCGCGGTCACCAAGTGAGCTGGCTAGAAGTTGTAGCAGCAGAGGCAGTCGTTGTAGAAGCAGCAGCTGCTGTTGTTGGTACTGGGAAGGGGGGTGTCGATGGTGGCGGTGGTGGTGGCTCTGGTGGCGGCGGCACCGGCGGTGGTGGTGGCACCCTATTCGTCGTCTTCCTCTTATTCCGGCTTCTGGGTTCCAGTGGACTGAGCAAATAAATGGCCTTCACACCGACAGCTTGAGTTGCAATAAAGCACCCAGCTCAGATCACGTTGCACACAACGTCGTCATAGCACCACCGACTCATTCTGATACTCTAAGCAAGAGAAACACCGCATTGATATGTATATATATATATATATATATATGTGTATATATATATATATATATAAGCAGCTTAAACGAGGCCCGAACATGGCTGCTCTAAGCGGAGGAGCGATAGAGGGTTCCTGATTTCTCTCGCACATGAGCTCTACTAAAGCGGCTAAGGGTTTCAGTTGGGTTCACGGGCTTTATGACTTGAGGTTCAAAAACTCCCATATAGGACACCCAACCTCGACTCCGACACCCAACCTCTGGTGCACGACAAGGCTCTGATCGAAAGCGATTCCACACGTAAGGCCGGTTTCCAGTCTGGCTATCCGCCCAAATTAACCTCAGGTTCAAGGACGGCACGGAGGCGTGCGCTTTAAGGTTCAGGTGCTGCAACAGGGGTTCCGCCATCAGTTCGTTACGAGCACCTGCTACAAGCCGAGCACGGCTCACGAACCACAGTCTCCAGTTTAGTGAAAAGACTAAGGAGCTTGGAGGGTGTTGCGAAGCGCTACGCCCTCTGCTCCGAAGGAATGTCATGTAGAAATCGCACAGACAAAGGGCCTTCCCCACTCCTCTGCCCTGAAGCTACGAAGCCTTAACCCCTAAACGTAGAAACTTGAGCCATTGAGACGCTCCTAGTTTGCAGAGGGGACTTTATTTCCGGGGAGACCTCAAACTGACAAACCCTTTTCTGGGTATGCTTGAACAACATAACATAAGTATGTAAGCATCGCTGGAGGATAGGCCCAGCTCTCAGGGCTTTCAGGTCTCACCAAGTGACTCTGCGTCGTCACAGCTGGTCAAGCACCACTTCTTCTTGTCTCCTCCAGCAGCAGAGGATTCAGCGGATCCTCTCGTGGTGTACCGAATCCGGAAACGCACTCCCGGACCTTTGCCAGACGGCTGTAGACGAGAGTACACTCCGTTTCACCATAATCTCAAGGCTCCAAGGTGTGAACCGCGGCCCGCACACCTTTTTCTCACGAACCCAAGACCTCGAACCCTGGAACCGAAGCCCCAATGTGTCCTAAGACCCTAATGTGCTAGAAACACAGAACCCCATTATTGAAAGACCTTGAGCACTGAACCCCAATATACCCAATAAATACAAGGCCCTAGACTCTCTAGACACCCCATAGTAGTTCCTTTTTGTGGCTTATACTTAGTATCCTATTTGGGAATCCCAGAAAGGAACTACTATGAAGCCTACGGGTAATCCCTGCCTAAACCCTAAACCCTAAACCCTGCCCGTGTCTCCGTAGTGCAGGAGTCCCCCCTCGTCCACATGGATGGCAATGTCATAGGTCTGCTGACCCACACAGGACCTCGTGGTGTTATTTTTGTGTCTTAGGGGCTAAGTACCCTAGCCCAAAAAAAGTTAACCTTTTGAATTATAGTAGGAATATATAAGCCCCAAAAGGTTAAAGGTCACCTACTCAGCCCCTAGGGTGTTGCCTCCTACTTCGCAGAGGACGAGCCCGCATGGCAGGGGTTCGAGGTCCTCTAGGTCGGAAGGTGTTGTGCGCGGAGGGATTTGAGGAGTTGGGGCTGTGGGATTGCGGGATTTGGATACATAATGGGACTGAGGGTGTACGTAAGGTTTCGTCCAGGAGCTGTAGTTGAAGGATGTGGCAGGAATGTCCGAAAGACCCTAGCTGAAAACCTAAGCGAGCCTAAACCGTAGGTTCCTTAGATCGGACCATGGAAACCACAAGGTGCTAAGAAGTATATAGAAAGTTACATCAAGGATTCCCATTCGGCTATGTTTGCATCTGAACTTACTCTCAACCCCCGGAATTCCGGCTGTTGATTCAGCTTGCATCCTACTCCCTGAAATCACGCGTAACCTGCGGTCCTGAAACTTGATGTGTGCAGACTTTGCAGCTTCGGGTGGTAGCTACCTACTCCTACCCTCATCACCACCTGGTTCTGCTCCTTCATCACCACCATCGTCATCGGCTTCTTCATCGTCATCACACACACACACATCTGTTTCACTGCGAAGTCATTGATGTTTTTCTCCGCCGGGAATGTTAGGGCTATTTAACGCACCTGTCCTATGTCAACTAAGTACTATAGTACTAGGCTCAGGAACAATAGAAAACATGGGAATTGCTTTAGCAAGAGTAGAAGCATTCGCGATAGTGTATACATAATCATAGACGACATCGTAGTACTGAGCCTGCAGGAAACGGCACACACACAAGACGAACTCAAAGAAGCCAGTAAACCTATTACCCGCATGAAGAAATAGTAGTCGCCGTCGCAAGAATGAGCGTACCCCAAGGAATTGTGCACTTCGGCCATCTCTCTCTTAGACCTGCCGCCAAGCTTCTTGGTCACCACGAACAAGCCTGCAGATGAGAAAGTCTTGGGTTCAGGTCTGAGGCAGCTTAGGAGACAGGAAGGGATGGGTCCGCAAGGATTTCGAGTCGAAGCTGCCGGCATATTTTGGGGCCAAGCAGGGGGTTGTTGAGAGAAGGGCACAAATCCAGTGCGGCCCGGCCCCAGGAAAGGACCGCGCATGAACCATGCACTTACGTACAATGCTCAGGCTAACTGTCTTGGGCTGGGGCGCACCCAAGACTGGCATCTGTCACCATCAAGAGCCCTAGACCCACACCCGAACATCTGAACTTTGGGTGCTGCTGAGATCTTCGGGTGAAGTAGCAGTAGTTTCAAGGGCAGCCATCATGCAGAAAGCCGGCCGCCCCCCTCCCTGCAAATCCTACAGAGTGATGAACTGAAGGCGGATCCCCTGATGGCCTTTCTTCCCAGGCTTCTGGCGCATGATGGTGTACACGGCATGAAAGTCTTTTTCCTGCTCTTCTAAGAACATCCACGTGAAAAGAGAAGGGGAACTCAAAAAAGTTTGGTAAATCAATGGGCCTTCACATGGCTAAGTGCAATCATAGGGACCTTCGTGATTAGAGTAGAGTTTAGGGACATACTGTTGTTTACTATGATTTGCTGTGCTATATACTTTCATGATCTACTTAAATTTAACAGTGCTGTAACATACACTTGAATGTGCTACATAAGATTATGTACTATACTCAAAGGCGGGCCGGTGTGGAGACGCGGAGCTGATATGATAAGCTGCCAGGTTCCTCTTCGGGATCCTTCAAGGGCGCCTTTAAGGGTTCTACCGTGTCGGGTTTAAGGGTTTAGCAAGTTTAGGGCTTCAGGGGCCTATGCTGGGTTTTATAGTTCCTTAGAAGCTGTGGGGTTGTTTTGGGGCTTGTACGAATAAGGTTACTATTATCCGGTTTCGTAGCGACTTCTCTGAAATGCCTCGGGCATTTGAACCCTGCATGGAACCTCCTAAACCCTAAACCCTCTAAGCCCTAAACCTCAGCCGAACAATGCCTTCAGGCCTGGCTTTTCCCAACCGTGAAAGCCTTGACAAGTCTGCCGCTAGAGATCTGGGAAGAAGCCTAAGAGCTCGATTCAAACTGTTTTAAAACACTAGGGTTTCGGCACTCACTCTCGAACATGTCTAGGCGACGTTCCTGGTACACGACGATAGTAGGGATTAGGGTTTAGGGTTGTTCCAAAATTTGGAATCTGACTGGGATGATAGTTCATTGCTCAAATTAAACCAAACCCTGCAA